GCGTATCGTTTTTTTACGCTCTCAATGAGCGTTGTTGGCTCTCTTGTTCTATTTATACTCTTTGATACAGTAGAATCCCTTTTAAGGGGACACCTTCGGGACCAAAAAAAGTGTCCCTTTAATTCCAAAGGAGAGGGTTCTGCTGTAATGGAACAGCACCCCCTCATTTAAGTGATTCTGCAAAGAAACTATTTTTACTCTTTTTCATATTTTTTGTTTCATAGGTTGTAGAAAAATCTTACCCAACAGAACCTGTTGGAGTAGTATGCCAAGTGGATGGGAAGTACCAGGTTGTGGAATATAGTGAAATCACATTACAAACAGCTCAGAAGAGGAATGAAGATGGCCGTCTTGTTTTTAGTGCCGGAAACATTTGCAACCACTTTTTCACCTTTGATTTTCTGAAAGAACTTGTCAAGTAAGAAAATTTTCTAAAGAAAAAAAAGAATAAAAAATCCATTTGAGTACAGAATACTCTCTTTATTGAGCAATAAATAATAATAATGGTAGACTTATATAGTGCATATTGTTAAGCCTTCTATGCGCTGCACATTATCACTACCCCAGTCATTGGATTCGCCTATGGAACACAAACTCAAGCTCCCTGAGTTAACATAACGTCGCAGCAGCTGAATCAGCGCATTTTGGCATTTAACCCTACCAGGTACTCATTTATCCTTCTGGGTGGAGAGAAGCAATGCAGATAAAGTGCCTTCCCCAAGGGCAGAGGTACAGTAAAATGCACAGCGAGGGATTGAAACCCTGACCTTGAGTTGGGGAAACCAAACCGTTCCCACTGTGCCAAGCCTCTTCTAAATGAAGTGTGAGTGTAATATTCGAAGAATAAATTATTTCATTCTCCATATCTAGTGAGCATGAACCATTCTTGAAGCACCATGTGGCGAAGAAGAAGATACCATATGTCAATGACCAAGGCAATATAATCACACCAGAAAAACCAAATGGAGTCAAAATGGAAAAATTTGTTTTTGATGTCTTTGAATTCTCAAAGTAAGCACTTTGTTTTTGATCACTTTAAATGCTCTAAGTAAGCACTTTTTTTGTTAACTCTTGTGCTCATCACAATTGCAATGCAAATTGTGTTTGTCATAATCCAGTACATTTTGCTGCTTTTGTTTCTGCATTGTTTCAGAATTCCCGCTTCCTGTTTCAATGTTAATTTTTATCTGTGTTGTGATTTCAGTAACTTTGCAGTATTTGAAGTACTACGTGAGGATGAATTCTCACCGCTGAAAAACAGTGATAAGGCTGAGAAAGACAACCCAACAACTGCCAAACATTCACTCATGTCCTTACACCATCGCTGGGTGTTGACTGCTGGTGGATCATTTGTTGACAAGAATGATTCTCTCATTCCAGCTATCCCAAGGTATTATATTTACTTTGTAATTTTATTAAAAGCTAATGAATTTTGAGACAAAGCCATTTTTTTAAGTAGGTTTCCCTGTAATCTATCTCATGAGTGTGTTCAGACAGATACCGATAAGATGCAGTATGTTTAATGGTAGAGGTTTAGAACAATGATTTACTTGGTACTGAACTCAGATATATCCTGGGGTCTGTACAGTATCAGCAAGGTTGAAAATTAAATCATTAACATCTGTTATTTATAAGTATAAGGGTATGTTCACATCTATTTAAAATATTTAAAAGTTTTAATGATGCACTGTGAATGTTTTACTACAGTTAAGAACCCGTACATTATTTGAAACTGAAAACTGTTCTCCCATAGGCCTATATTACTACTAGTTTAACGCCAGCGTTAATATAGCGAACGCCGTTTGTGTGAACACTTTGGAATTTTAATACATGGATTAGCTTACGCCGTATGTGTGAACATAGCCTAAAATGGTTAAGTGTGAACAAGTGTGCATTGTTTACCATGCACATATTGCACACAGGACCAAGAGGTTAAAGGTCTTATCTGAAAGGTGGTGTGCTATTAATAATAATAATAATGCATTTATAATGCGCCATCTATCTAGGTAAACCTATTCCACACGAGACGCACACAAACATACTAAACCTGGAAAAAAAAAACAACGTTATAAAAATACAATAATAAAAACAATTAATGATTAAAAGCAATTGAAATAAATGTGTTTTAAGAGTCTTTTTAAAAACATCAAGCAAACTGCATCTGCAGAGTTCAATTGGTAATGCATTCCAGAGCCTGGGTGCTGCTGCATAGAATGCTCGATCACCGTATGAAGATGCAGTCCTAGGTACAGTTAATAGGTGTTTGTCCGCTGATCTTAAAGTGTGTTTGGGGACATGCATAGATAATAGTTCGCGTATATATGTAGGTGACATTTCGTTGAATGATTTCCAGGTGAGGAGCAGCAATTTGAATTGAATTCGTTGGCGAATTGGTAACCAGTGAAGCTGTTTCAATATTGGTGAAATGTGATCAAATTTTCTGGTCCATGTTAACATGCGAGCAGCTGAATTCTGAACATGTTGGAGCTTAGTCAGTAGCCACCTGTGTAGCTGACTGAGCTTAGGTGCTGCAAGTGGGAGAACATGGGGAACATTTTATTCTATGATCTTATTAATTCTAAGTTGACAATTTTTCTTAGGGAAAACAATGTTATGTAGAAATCCTCAACATAACTATTTATTTTCTCTATCGTCAGTGGAGGTGTTTCTTCGTACTTAGTTCAGTATCATATCTTTTTAGGTCATATTATATTTCTCTAAGCAATCAGGAATTATAAATGATAAATGAATGAAAAATGTAACAATATGCATCCACAGAGATTTTTAAAACATAAATGGGATATGGATAAAAGTTGTTATTACTGTACATGTTTGGTTGGGATATTGCAAATGTAGGTAATTAAATGCTGCCATTAAAATTTATTTTATGATAATTTTTTAAAAAGCATTAAAGTATTTCTTTTTTATTACCTTTGTTTAGCAAACGGTTGAAACTTGACACAACCAGAAGGTGAAGTCAACTTGTACTTTTGTAACACAACAAGTAACCATATAATCATACATATATACATTTAGTTGCACTATATACTGTATTAGCTTCTGTATGTCATCAAACTAATGATATCTTATTGCACTCCTAATTGAGTTCAAAATTCTAAGCTTATACTAAAGATTGCTTGTGATTTTTCATCCTTGCACACTGACAGATCCTGAATTTGTTTGCTTGGGAGTCCAACAGGCAATTGAGTACCTATAATGGTTGGGGTGGTAGTAACAATGCTTTGAAGGTTTCTGGTGTTCCCTTAAGCATCTTGGGGGCACAGGGGCTATGGCCCTGGAAGTGCTGGAGTCTTAGTGTACACTTGGCCCCAAGGGTTAAAAGTTGACTAAAATGAAGTCAGAACCAATGCCAATGTTATTTAAGGTTGCTGTTTGCGGTTCCCCTCTCACTATTGCTGCTCAAACACACAACTTGGTGAAGTCTACACCATCTGGTAGTTCAGAGCTAGTCTTCTATACTAACAGGGCCAACTTTGGTGATCTATAATCTAGTCGGTGTTGCAATGTTATAATAGGGCTGTAGATAATGGAGTTATTCAGTATCAGTGCTGGCTATGTTTCTAAGATATCTAAGCTCTCTGAGCTTAATTCTCAAGCTTACAATGTACGCACTGGCTTGTGTGTAGAAAACTGACCACTGTAATTGCCATTGCAGTGTGTCAATACTAGTTGTCATAGTAATGATACTATTGTGCCTGCTTCTGGTTGTCCTACTGTGCTGTAGATTTACTGTGTGGCTAACATGGCAGTGAATTTTTCCTTAAAACTATCCAGTTCATGTCATACTTTTACCTTTCTTACTTTCTTTCATCATTTATTCCTTAATGAATTACTTGTATAGCTGATTTATGGTATGTGCACTTACCGTACATGTTTTTAATGCTTTACGACCTGGCAGTGCAGTGCTACTTGATATACAGTACAAACTTACAATTTCTGGTATTTTTTGTACTATTCTGAATAAATTTCTAGGATAAGGTAATGATACTTAAAAGCATCCAACTATTAATATGAATATATGTACATATGAATGAGGAATCCACAGAGAGGAAAATTACCTGTCTTATACAGTAACATATGTGGAACTAATTTAATAGGCTTTTCACATCATAAGACTCCCTTTTGGGGCACTTTCCTAAGACTCCCAGGCTTACCCATGCTCTCTAGGCCCACCCATGCCCATATTCATCTAATGGCACATTATGGTTTATCTGTGTGTGTGTAGTTCATCATTATATACATACATTTCAGGCCTTGATAATTATTATATATACAAGACAGTCATTATACAATGCTGTTGAAATTAATTAGCACCATTGCTTAATTTATTAACTCACCAATCTGCCTCCACTAACAATATATTCTACTCT